CTTTGGTGCCCGAATACTTTCAGCTGGCCTAGGCCAGAGCTGCCAGCAAAGTCAGCCCAAAAGATCTCCTTCCCTCTGCCATTCCCAGCTAAGTAAGACCAGGAGGATGTTCCAGTAAATACTACTTTTTCTACCAAGTATAAAGTTAGACCTGGTCTAACTTTCTGCACAAGGCAGAAATGAGCAGGAAAGGCTTTTTCCTTTTGGTGACTGAAAGCATTCTTGTAAAACAAAAGTCTGTATTCCACAAGCTACTTGTACTTGTCCTTTAAAAACTATTCTCAGAACAACTGAGCATAGTGAGGTTCTAGGGACGTGTCTGTAGAAAGAAAGCTCTAAACTTGGTTTCTAACCATCATTTGATGTGGAATTCAGTAAGCCACTAACTGAACTGCACTTTTTAGCATAATATTTCCTAAATCAGGTTTAGTGATAGAAACTTTAGTACTAGGCAGTACTGTCACTTTTTAATGTTTGTTATTGGTATAGTGTTTTGGAGTCAACAATTTTGTTTGCCAAGTCAGAAAGTGCAAAACTCTGCCTGTTAAAATCTGAAAGCTTATTTAAAATTTAATGACATGGTCTATCTACATTGTGCCTTTCATGCAGCACAGGTACAGCACTGCCTGCCCACTCAGCCTCCCACCTAAAGCTTGTTCTCTTGCATGCTTGAAAATTTTGAAATTTTCTGCTTTTTGATGGAAACTTGGTTTCATATTAAAATTTTAATTACTATTAGTAAGATTACTAAAATAATCTGCCAGGGTACATTTGTCAAAAGTAAATTTTGGGATCTTCTCCATATGAAATTTCAAAGATGAGGTTTGTTTTGAGAGTTGGGGTTAATACTCTCAAGATTTTTTTCGAAAGAATTTGAGCTTAGGATGCCATTACTTTTTTTCCTAAACACAAATTGATGCTTGTTTTTCTGTTTGTCTGATCTGAGTTAAACCTCAATGATTAAGTTGCAGCTTGTTGTAGTGAACACTGCAAATGGTTTCTGCTTCTAATAGCTTGTGCATAAATTTCATAACTGGAGTGCTTTCCTTGCTCATTTCCCTGCAAAAGTTGCTAGTTTTGTCTCGTTGGAACAAAATTCGTTTAGCCTTTCAGTTATGAAATAAATGGATACATTTCCCCTTGTGTTTGGCTACTCTTGCTGTTTCCAGAAGTGCTAGAACTGTCTTTCCCTGCATTGGAGAGGATAAAAGGCTCAATATGATTTTACATATTGATTTTAAGTGTTTTGTCAGCAGGTTGGAAACTTTTCTAAATTTGGATACTTAGTTTGGAGGTAAACATAGATTAAAATTTATGTAATTGTGGATAGCATCCCAAAATTCAAAGTACTGATTAGATTTTTTTCAATGTGTCGTCTTGTAGAAATTAGAAAGCAAACTTTAGGAAGTTAGTAAAATAATAGTAAAACAATATAATTGGTATAAGGATTTATACCAAGAGGAGGGTGGGCAAAAGGAGGAAATAGCTGGAGAATAGTTAACCTAAAGGGAAACGTAGTATACTGCTTCATGTACTTTTATGTTCACTTTCTTTTATAGTAAAAGATGCCATCTTAAGTGTAACTCGGTACTTTAAGTTGCAATTCTGAGCATTATTTTTTAATTATTCAGTATGTAATGGAAATTGTAATGACTAGATCAAGTTAATATACTAAAATCTATTTTATATGAAACATTATCAGAGGCATAACTCTTCATGGATTCAATATTGCTGCATCATGGGACAAAATACTACTCTATTTCAATGTCTTCAATTGAGTGAAGAACTGCTTTAAGCTACTTTGGACTTGAAACTTTGTTTCCTTTCAAAAAAAACCAAACCACACCATGCAGCCTTCCCTGCCTTTTTGTAGATAGCATGAGACCTGACAAATGGGTTATCGTAAAACATAGCTTACATGCTGAAAACCTGTCATGGCAGTATGGTGTGACAACTAAACCCACTGATTATTACCTGAAGTGTCTTTCACTCTAACCTCACTATTCTCCATACTGTTTGATGGTTATTGTTCTTTTTTTCTGTGAAACCAGTGTAAGAATATTCTCATTCCCTCTTCCTTACTTCATCCGTGCTTTTTGGAGTCCTATCTGTTGTGCTGTACAGTTGTTGGTGGGGCCAAGCTGTAAATCAGGTCACCAGAATGATTCAGTTTAAAAATAAACCTACAAAAAAAGCTTGGAATTTGCTTTGTCAGCATTCTGTTTAAATGCCCTGCAGAGCATCACTCCTATTATCTAAGACATCTCTTGTTTGTATTCTGTTTAGAAATCATGTATTTGCAGCTGGAACAAAACCTGTCTGTTCTCAAAACTGCAACTTCAGCCTCACATCTGTCATGCTCTCATCTTCGATTTATCTCCTGTAGCCTCTGATTAAAAGCATATTGGTCCCATATTTCATTTGAAATGGTGTGGTGGTGGTATTCATTTCCCAAAAGTGTTTCATGCCTATTCCTGAGTTAATGGAAAACTTGTAAAACAACATGCATCTATGAAGTGGTTGCTGTGAAAAGAAAGCTGTGATTTTCTGCTGGTGTCTGTACCTTATAAATTTGAAAAATTGAAATCTTCCCCAATTGTTTTATCTGCTTCCAGAAAACCTTGTTCTGGTGAGACCTGCACCAGTTAGTTCTTCTCTTAAAGTCACTTGCAGATTTTGAGGGCAAGCACGGCTTTGTTTTCTTCGGACTTGAGGAATTGTTGAGTCTGGAATCGTTCTGCAGGAGGATGACTGCTTGACAGGCTTTATTCACTGCCTCTGCTCTGACTACACTTCAGTCAAATAACATGAAATTCTGAATTATATTAGATAAAACTTTGTAATGTGCACTTTCTCCATGGTATTTAAATGTTACTGATATTTTGAGAAGCCTATTTTAAATGTAGTGGCATTGCTTCCTCTGGGGTAGAAAAAGTCATGTATTGCCTCCAGCTTTTATCAAAACTGAAAGAGGGAAGGGAGGTTTAGGTTGGACATTGGGAGAAAATTATTTACTGGGAGGTTGGTGAGACACTGGAACAGGTTGTTCAGGCAATTTGTGGAAGCCCCATCCCTGGAAATGTTAAAGGGCAGGTTGGATGGGGGTTTTGAGCATCCTGGTCTAGTGGGAGGTGTCCCTGCCCATTTAGGTGAGTTGGAACTAGATGATGTTTATGGTCCCTTCCAATTCAAACCATTCTATGATTTTTTCCTAGGTTGCATTAGCAGAGTTAACAGTAACTTAAGAGTCTGGATTGCTTGTGTAATCAGAGGATTGAGGAGAACTAAGTACAGAACTAAGAACTTGAATCAGTTGTGAAGCCAAGGTGATGGACTGAGCTGGAAGTTGGTTTCATACCCGAGAAATTCAGAAAAATCACAATGAGTTTCTTCAGCAATCTGGTACCTTTCAGGAACTCTTCTTTTATTTGCACTTGGAGTTCCATTTGGAGGCATACCTTTCTCCAGGGAGAGGAAATTGCTGTCTTAATAATCAGCTTGACCTACAGTGCTTTGAAGTGGTTGCTAGGTCTCCGATTGCAAAAAAGATTAGCCATCAATTAAGCTATATGCAGTTGTGTAATTTTAAGTCCAATAATTTACATTAACTAAGTATAAAATTATGGGTTTAAATACATGTGGGAGATCATCCAGGCCCTAATCCAGGTCTTGCTCTTGCAGTCACTGAAAAATATGATTGCTTCTTGCAAACTTGCAAGTTGTGTTCTATGATGATGTTTTGTTTTGCCATTATGGTGGCGCCTGCCCTGGTTTTGACAAGTACTCTGAAAGCTCTAGGCTTTGTTTACAGCCTGCACATATTCAGTTGTTCTTCAGGCCAGCATTTCCTTTTATGTAAATACAGATATGTCCCAGTGTGACCAGTACAGTACTAGAGTACAGGGGGCATTTCAGTGTGCTGGCACATGTTCCTCTGACAGTGCCTGTTTTCCCTGCTCATGCTCCCTGAAGCTGAGGACCTGAGACCCCCCCTGTTCTTGCAGTGGAGGTGGATGATGGAGTTCTATGTTGTCTCTTCTCCAAATAGGATTGTTGTAAAGAGTGTTCTTTGATAGTGTTTTTCTCTGCAAAGTCAAGATTTTCACCTTTCAGTCTTTGATTTCCTAGGCTAAGGGGGTCAAGATCTCTTATTTTTTTTTCCCTGCTTAACAAGTGCTTCTTGTCCCATGGTTGCAAAACCCTACCAGTAGTCATGTTTGGTGCTGCTTTTAGCTTTGAGTCATCTTGAACATTTTTACTCAAATGTTCGGATGTGCTCATGCCTCTGGCCTGTGCAGTGGTGCCATTTGCAGTGAAAATATCTAGACTTATGTTTGGTTTTTTTTTCAGCTGCTCTGAATGTTGTAGCTCATGAACTTTGACTGGTAGATCATGCATTTTTCACTATGTAGACTAAGTATGAACATAGATTTTTGTGCTATAACAAGCAGTTGAGGAATCTTTAACAGCACTAATTAGTGTGTAGGTTTTTGCAGTGCTTTTTCAGGCTCAATGAACCTTGCTCTGTATTTCACTTCAAGATAAAAAAAATAGTAGAATAAAGGCAATACAATTTTAACTAGATTCTTTTTTATCCTAATGCTTATTCTTGCTTTGAATCTGATTTTTAATCTCGAATACAGCAAATCTTGTACCTTCCTGGTTTTCTTTTGATCCTGCTATTGGTAGAATTACTTGGAAAAGTAGGCAGTGAGAGTAAGTCATTAGACTTACATAGGCATATAAACTAAAATATCTATCAGTATGTTATGGCTCTTGTATGCAAAAATTAACATCTGCTTGGACACCATCCTTAGCAAGTGATTTGCAAAAGGTTATTCCAAGTGTTAATCAGTTGACAAATGTTTATTACATGAGAAAAAATTATAGAGTTGTCATTTCACAGTTGCATGTAATCACTGATAATTTCTATATGCAAACCTGTAAATTTTCTCCTATATATTTAGTAACCAGATCCTATTTTTGTTTTACAGCTGCTGCAGAGGGCAAAGGAAAAAGTGGGGAAGACTTTTTTCAGAAGGTAAGAAATGTATTTTAATTCTATAATATCAACTGAGAAGAGGAAAAATTATACCCGTTTTTCATTCATGACATACACTAAATAAACTTAATGTGCATTTTCCACTGTATTAATTAAATATTTAAAAAATGTTTTTATAATTGTGTAAACTAACTATCAACTGTGCATGGGGTGTATTGAGAAATGTTATTTGATGCATACCACTCTCATGCACATCAATTTAATTTTTCTTTGACTATCAGATATGTAGAAATATGCATTATAAAAGTTTATTTTGCTTAATAGCAAGGGGTTTATTTAAAAGGTAGTGTGAGTTTGTCCTAGTTTTTATATCTATGGATGAAGGCTACATACTGTTATTGAAAAACTAACATGAAACTTAGTGTGATATAGTGGAAAGCATAAATATTTGGTTGAGAAATGCGAAGACCTTTTAACAAAGAAATACACAATCCACAGAATGATTCAATAATGTTTGTGGTTAGACAGAGGCACGGAAGGACTGGAAAAAATAGTCCTGGAGCAACTAAACTAAGAGAAACATAGTCACGAGTAATGACTTTGAAATTACTTTTGCAAAGCCACATGGTTTGTTTGTTTTCAAGAATAGTGTGTAAAATAATAATTGAGTTATGTTAATAGAGATCTGCATATTGTATGCCAAGGAAAATGGTGAGCTCTTTGGTCTTTCTGTACTAAAGAGCAGACAGTAAACATTCATGCTGCATATTGAAATGTCTTGAAATTCCTTTTTGACTGGTTGTCCATTAAACAAATAGCTTGTTGTATATTCCTGATTTTCTTCATATTTATGAAGAAAAGGTCTTCACTTCAAAAAAGGTCTTTGTGTAGATATGAAAGAATACTTCATCCTGCACGTGGCTGTAGGATGCTCTGATGAAGTCTGGTGAGAAGGAGGAGTGTGTATACTGCCCAAGTGTTTGTTTTAGAAAGTATTTTATTGGAGTCTTTAGATTATGTTGCTCTTGACTGAGTTACTTTTCTGCACTTGGTTGTTGTGCTTGGTTGTCTAGTATTAGAGTGCACAGAGGAGAATGTGTTAATAATTCTTTCTTAGCATGTAATCAAAACATGTGGTTTTTTTTCTTGCTGCACCAAAGCTAATGTATAGTACCATATACTTTATTCTACGTATCATTCATGTTACAAAACCATTACAAATTTTCTCATAATTCTTGAAGCTGCCGACAAAATATTTCCTCTGTGAAGGATTGAATGGTTTATTGTTTCATATGTATATTTGGATACTTGATTATTTACTGTAGATATGAGGAACCTTATAATTATGTAGTTACTAGTAAAAGAGCAAAAAACACTGTTGAATTTAATAGGAAAGTGAAGTTTCCTAGAACTGCAAGTATGTGAATAAGACTACACTACTATCCATATTGCTAATAGATGTAGTGGCTACTTTGGGCATTAATTTGTAATGTGTGTGCCAATTATGTAGGCATAGCATGGATGGTATTATAGGTGAAAGTTGCTTCATTGTAACTGACATTCTTACAGTCGCAAGAACTGTTTAGATTATTGTCTGAGTATGTACACGTGGTACTACAGCTAATAAAAACAGATGGAAGCTATCTTCTTTGGGAGGTTTCTTTTGTTAAAGAAAATCTTTGGAGAGTTGCTCATAGCTTACTCACTGTCTATGTCTGTGCAATTTCCTTTAATCAGAGTTAAGGTTTTTCCTTTCTCATGTTCACTGAATAAGGCAAAGATTCTGGAGGTAAAATGAAGACTCTTTTCATGTGCTTCAAGCTGTATAGTGAGGAAGCAAGTGATTTGTAGCATTAGAAACACATTGCAAACTAACATGGTGAGATACTTTTGGAAATGCAGTTTTAAAAATACTTATGAAAATGAATTTTTTTCTAAGGACATTATTGGTAGGCTTTTGGGTGGAACAGGGAGGGGAAGTGCATAATTTAAGAAGCATATCAAGAACTGCGGGTGTAATTTGTATAAATAATGCCATGTATAATATTTTCTGACAAGCCCTACCTTCGAAGTACTGAAGTTGTTGCTGGGTGGAAGGAGGGGTGTGTGAGGCAAAAGGCGTTTTCATATGAAAGACGAAATGGCAGAAGGATCAAGGCAAAGATTCAAGAAGGTGATTCAGTATGTCAAGGCATGCAGACCAAGAGGGAGGAGAGGGCACTGGTAGTGGAAAGTGTGAGACAATGCTGACTTCTTGCCAGTGGCTCTGTAAGTGGTTGCTGGGTCTTGCTTGGTTGTTGGTCAGTGGGGGACAGCACTCAGATCTTACCTAGCTTGCCCTCAGGAGGAACAGGAGTTGCTAATACTATCTGAGCTGGGCTCAAAGGCAGGGACTCAGTCTGGGTTGTTAAGCTACGTATAGTGTGCTCTAATGAGTCTGTCATGCTTTTAAACAAAGTTAATACAGGGTGTTGGTGCTAAGTGATCTTTAAGCATGGAAACAAGCAGTATTACTTGCTTAAATTTTCATAATCAAGAAGACACTCCATGGATGTGAACTGGTCCTATCATCTTTTAATTTAGGAAGTTTAATAATGCCAATTTAAATATCAAAATGCAGTATTTCACTGAGCATTTTAGTAGAAAAAAGTTCTGCAGTCACTGGTGGAGTTACAGAATAAGCCCCAGTTCTTGGCTGCAAGGGACAAAATAAGATCATATTTCTACCCTGTCATGGTGGGGGAGATCAAGTGAAGCACCCCTTCCTCTGCTTCTGAATTAAATACAAAAGTAGTTAAATGTTTTTTTAAAAAAAAAATCTGAAGACTTTAGCATACTTTCTTCCAATATTTCTAAGTTTTAGTACTGATTCAAAGCAAGGAAAACCCAACATAGTCTAATATGGAATTTTCAAAACCACTGTGAGATGCTAATAATTTAGCAAGAAATAAGTTAATGGTAGTTTTCTCTCTAGACCTCTATGATCTGCAGTTCAGTGACGAGTAATCTTAAATAAGCATAGATTGGTTTGCTATTGTGTTACATAGTGTTTATGTAAAAGATCCTTGTGGACCTTGCTCTAGATATTGTTGTCCTAGTTTATTCCATGAGAGTAATACATAATATGAAGTTATTACTTGTTCTTGATCCAAAGCTCACTTTCAGTTGATAGTGGAATTTTTCCATTCAATTCCATAACATCTGGTTCACGCCTCATTAGGCAGGCAAAGGACTTCCCAGACAAAGCCAGGACATGGTTCCAAGTAACATAATTTATGTAGCTCTATAGATATGCATGGCACTCTTACATAAAATCTAAGAAGGTGGTGGGTCTCTGCCCTGAAGAGTTCATAATCCAAAACAGATGAGGGTCAGCCATGTGGACAGAGGGGAATTTAATGCTTCATTTGTTTGCTTTTAGTTCTTGCCTCATCAAGGTGGTTTTTTTGTTTGGGTTTTTTGGTTTTGTTTTTTTGTTTGTTTTTTTTTCTTTCCCTTAAGCATTTACAAATCTTAGTGCTGACCAGCCTCATCAAGGGAACGCTAAATGTAATGGGTGATAGGCAAAGGTTTTGGGTTTAGTAGAAGTTGGATGGTGTTCTCAGACTAACATGGGACGGCATGTGCAGAAAGGTAGTGACTGGAAATGATGCACGTGTGGTGCTCTGCCCAAGTGCTTGACTCTAGGTTGGGTGTAAGTTGCCCATTTCTGCTTAATTCAGTGTGAGTGTGTGTTAGTCATGGGCTTTTGCAGCATTTCTGAAGGGACATCTCAGCTCCCCCTTTCCTGACATTTAAGAGCTGATTTGCAGAATTTGGTTTTGTGGAAAGCCACTATCTTGTCAGTTTAAATGTTTCTGAAGGTTTGAGATTATTTAGATTTTGTGAAAGTTGGTTTCTTCTTTTGTTTGTTTTTAAATCAAAGAGAAAAATTGTGTTTGTAGGAATGTATTAATTTGCACAGTTGCAGATACTGAGGCCTTTTTAAGATCTTTCTGGATTTAGGAAAAAATGTGTTTAAATGTTTGTACTTCTCTTGACTGCAGATTTATTCTCTGAAGTGGATGTAATCATACCCACGAATGTGGAGATGTGAGTGTGCAAATGTTTCTGTGTATCAAAATCTCTTTTGTCAATCATAGGAGTTTATGTTGTAAAGGATGGCCAGGGTTTTCCTTTTTCATTTTCCTTGCTCTCCTTACATCTAACATGTTTCATCTGTAACTTCTTAAGTGGAAGCCTGTTAAAAGATGCTGAGGCCATTTTGGAAGTAATACTTGTGAAACCATACTTTAAAATGTTTTGCTCTTCCAGTATAGATAGTAAAAATGGTAGCAGTAGAGACTAAGGAAAAAACAACAACAAAAAACCAAACAAACAAAACAACAACCAAAATACCCAAACCAAAGCCAACAACAAAAAAACCCCACCCCAAAACCAAAATAAATTCCAATTTATTTGAAGATGTGAACAACAGGTATATCTAACTACATCTTTAATCACCTTTCTGTTAAATGGCTCTCCTCTGTGCAGTAGTTATTACTTAACGTACATTACCTTTTATTTGTTTGGGAGGCTCTGGCAGCAATGGCAGTAAGGAAGCTGCCTCAAGCCCTCTTCTTTTATCTAAGACTGTGAAAGAGCTTGTTTTGCAACATTTTGTATTTTCTCGTGTATCTTTTAAAAATGTTCATTAGATTGATCTGGGGTAAACCTTGTAACTTTGGCAAAATTTCTGTTTGAGATTGTATTGATACTGTTTAGGTATACATTAATACTTTTGTAATACTGCTTATATTCTGTTACAACTAAAATTAAAAAAAATTGTATAGTTGTCTGCAGTAGGTCAGGCTGAAAGGTGGTCGGTCTTCTTTTTTAATCTGTAAACATGAAATATGTAGGTAGAGCTTCAAATGTCAATGGCTTAGGGCGTTTTCAGGCATTAAAAACATTAATCATTGACCTGAAACTAAGATGTCTCATGTTGATTATTAGCCATGTTCAGCAGTAACTTCTGCAGGGCTTTCTATGTGTCCTCA